CCAGCTGCTGCTGCTCCGCGCGCGCGCGGCTGATCGCGAGCCGGTTAAAGTCGAGCGTCACGATGACGCGCTGCGAGCCCTGCCGGAGGGACATCGCGAACGTCATCCCATAGACATAACACACCCAGACGGACGTGTGCGTCGGCGGCGCGGGGATCAGTCTCGACCCGCTCGGGCCCCACTCGGACCACTCGAAGACGCGGCCGGTCTCCCCGGGGGCGAGGGAGCGGATGCAGTCGAGGAACGTCCAGGAGGGCACGAGCGAGATGAAGGGGATGATGTGCATGTTGCCCTCGACGACCCAGAAGGTGATCACGAAGAGGCGGTCCTGGCGCGCGACGTGGAACGGCACCTTCAGCTCGGGGCTCGGCGTCCAGTTCGGCGCGGGGTCGGACCGGACGGACATGGAGACCGTGGCGAAGTTGTCGTTGAGCGGCGGGTAGTGGAACGCGCAGAGGTAGTCGAGGTCGCTGAACTCGATCTCTTCTTGGACGGGCATCCGCTCGAGGTCGATGACGAGCAGCCGGGGGTCGTCTCCGTGGAAGACGTTGTTGTTGTCGAGCTCCATGGTGGGCAGCGAGGTCAGAAGGACGTGACGGGAGGACAAGAAAGCGAAGGACGACAGATCAGCGCCCGTAATATGCTAAGGCAATCTGAGTTCAGCAATGCTACAACCTGCCAGGTCAAACGTCCTTGAACTTACTAGACGACGGTGCCCAGTTTTCCAGTTCCAGATGAGGAATTCGGAATGATCCTCGTCGCTGCTTGTCATGAGGACTGCAACATTGTCCTCCGCCACCTGGATTGTATACGAATAGCGACCTCTATGTGGTGTGTGGGTCAGCACCGCTGGCCGAGAAGCCGCAGGGTGCGTTTGCCCAGTCGTAAGGGACTTGAGGTGAACCGAGCAAGTCATACCGGTCCTAGGCCCCAGGTCAGCACAGCCCGTTCATGATTGAAAACGCGCTCTCTTACCCTTCTACCCGATTTTCGACCACGACTAACAAGTCTTGCGCAGGGTCCATACCAAAGTCACGGATATGCACTCCCACATCTTCTATCCTCCACTCTCTACCTTCGATCCCTCGGAGGCTGGAGGGCAATTGCTTGAAGACGAGCGTGCGCGAGCCCTCTCCCTGGGCGAGGACGCCACCATAGAGTTCCCACACGCCCCCCTGCAGCATCGGGATCTCTTCTCGCGATGTCCACGCGAGCTTGTCCATGGCCTCCTGGCGCGCCTTGAGCATGCGCAAGCGCTCCGCGGCGGAAAGGGTGCTGTACTGGCCGTCCTCCATGCCCGCGGCGGCGAGCTCGACCTTGTACTGAAGGCGGACGTCGTTGTCCATGAGGTCCTTGAGAAGGCTGCATACCTGTGCGCACTGACTTTAATACCGAACCTGGGGCGCTCGTGTGGACCGGGAGAATCCCACTCACCTGACGGGAGCGCAGTAGAGTGACATGGTCCAATTCGAGGAGGACGTTGATCAACAGCTCCGGAGGCAATGAGAGTAAGTTCATGTCGGCAGTGCTCGAGGGATGTCGTGGGACATGGGCGAGGTAGAAGAGAAAGAGACAGAGACGCGAGCGTGAAAGTGGAAGGGAAGCGAGGACCGAGTCTGCACTCCCTCTCTCTGTGTCGATGACGGCGATAGTCGAGATGACCGAGTCCGATCTAGATCTTCTGCATATCGCGCCGCCAACGCCGGACGGGCGCTCCGGATTCTGCGCGACCGTGTACGCGCGAACTTGGGCAGCGTCGCAGAATTCAGTTCTTGCCTACAGCTGCCGCCATCGACGTGCTCACTTCTCCTTTCTGCTCTATAACCAGCTGGCGGCCTAGAGGACTGACTTGCCACCGTGAGTACTCCTCGGCGAAACGGCTGCGCCCAAAGCATCTCATTCCGAATTCCTGCTGTCATTAGACTCCGGCCGTACTCCACGTCGCCTCCTGCCCTCCTCTCTTGCACCCAAACCCATTCCCACTTGTCGCCGTCTTCTATCTCCCTGAAACCATGAGCACATCACCAGTAGTCGACCCCAACGTTCTGCTCGACGCGAACGGCATGCCCATCGAGACATGGGGCGGCAAGTTCGAGCGCAAGTTCAAGGAGAACCCGTTCGTGCCCGTCCGTGAGTCCCGCCCCCGTCCTCTCCACCCCACCACCCCCGCCTAACAAGCACACAATCTCCAACGCACGCACAAACATCCAAACGCACCCCGTCCCGTGCAGTCGCCGGCCTGACCACCGCATCCCTCGTCGTCGCCGCGGCGAAGCTCCGCCGGCGCGACAGCACCTCGATGAACCACTGGCTGCGCGTCCGCGTCGTCATGCAGGGCCTCACCATCGTCGCCGTCGTCGGCGGCTCGTGGTGGTACGGCCAGATGAAGCACCAGAAGGAGGCCGCCGCCGCCGCAGAGAACGAGCGCGTCCTCGAGCGCGCCGCCTTCGAGGCCCGGCTGCGCGCGGCGGAGGAGGCGGACCGCTTGGAGAAGCTCGAGGAGCAGGTGCATGCGAATGTCGCCGCGGCGGCGCAGAATGGCGGCAGTGCGTCGGGGGGTAGGTGGCTTGGCGGGTGGTTTGGTAAGGGAGGGTCAGGGAGTGCGTCTGGCGCGACGGGCTCGAGTTTCTGAGCATGACGCACGGTCATGGCGCTTCAAAACTATGTAGGCATCTCCCCTCTCATCATACGACGGTCATTGTTGCGTGCTACTGTATACTAGCCCTTCTCGTAATTCAGCACCAGCATGACTTCGGACACCAAGCAATTCCCTGCAATGTGCAAGCATCTAGCGACCTGCATGACATCGTGCTGATAGAGAGAGTCCATCGCGCTCTGGATAATGATGCAGATAAATACGTATATTTACCCCTCCGGAGCAAAGAGGGCAGTTTTGTAGTAGCCCCAGATAGCCCGGCATGGACGTTGCCCCCTGCCATAGGTATCGCCCCAATGCGCTCCCCCGTCGGATGTCATACATCGGTCCTGGACCTGTCTTGCAAGCAGGCCTGCCTGAGGATGGTGTCGGCGATGAAGCAGTAATACTGGGTATCGCTACACTTTCAGCACCGACGGTTCATTCAGTGGGGGGAGGGGGGATACATACCTATTCAACGCGCGGACGTCTTGGTGGGGTATAGAATCGATCTAACCATCGACGCGCGCACGCATCGTCGTCGTCGTTCCAACCTCGCTAACCGCCATGCAAAGTCGAGATGAAGACGATCTCGTCGCCGTCCTTGAGCTGATACTCGCCCTCGCCCTCCAGCTCCCAATCCGCATCGTTCACCAGCACCAAAATGCCCGGCCGACTACCCAGCACCAGTTACCAGTGCCTGTATCAGACAAGAGATACGCGGCGCGAAGCAACCGAGCGATCAAACTCACACCGTCCCGTTCTCGATGAACAGCTCCTCGCGCTCCTTGAGCAGGTTATCCCTCAGCCAGAAGATCAGGTACGCCAAGTCCGCCGGCTTCTTCTTCTCCGCGCCGGCTTCGTCCTGTGCAGTCTGAGCGGTCGAGGAGGAGGAGGTGCTGCTGGAGGACGCGGCGGGGACGAGGGCGGGGATGGTGACGCGGTGCGAGCGCTGGTTGGAGAAGAGCAGCTCGAGGCCGCCTCCGAATTCGATCTTGAGCGAGATGGTGCCGGACATGTGTGCGGTGCTGTGAGGATTGGGGAGAGGAGGGGCTGGAGGAGATCCGAGTGCCAGTGGTGGTAGTATGTAGTGGCGGTAATTTCTGAACGATTGAGAAGATCTGATCTCGGGCGTTCATTGAGTTGTGGGCGCTTGTTGATCCACAGGCTCAAACTTTTTCTTTTGGCTTTTACGCTCACGCGGCATGCCCATCCACAGTATTTTTGCTTCCCACTACGCGCACGATGATTGAGAGTTCGTAAACGATGAATTTTGCCTGATTTCTTCCTCAGATGCCTTTAGACATTGTCGTAAAACGTTATATTGCTATGATGGGCTTGACCTGCCACCGCCCGCCTAGCTCAATCGGATAGAGCGTCAGACTCTTACGAGGGCGGGATCTGTTCTGTCCTCACCAGGGCTATCTGAAGGCTGCGAGTTCGACCCTCGCGGTGGGCTAATGGTACTGTTTTTGTCGTGATTCAAATCGTTAAGGCAAGCTCAAAGCGTCTAATCAATTCTATTCAACGCTGCGGACTGTGGCCGCAGTCGCAACCGGGATGCACGCTCAATTATCTCTACTTTTTCACCTTTCAGCATGCTCATTGCTCCCCTTTGCAATGGTGATAGCAACCTCTGCGGCATCCCCCTCCTCCTGAGCTCCAGGTCTAACCCTCGAATCAAACGGCTAATGATAGCGCACATATACACTGCGATGGGAAGGAAATGGTAATCTCTGGATAGCCAGCGAGGAAGACAAGGTGTGGCTCCACAATATTAGGGCAGCTCCCACGTGGCCGTATGTATCATGCTCATGGATTTTCGCAGGACCTTGTTCCCGTAGGAATGGATTGATGAGCCTCGATTCGATCGGCGATGGCAGTCGTTCACGGTGCACTGGGCGGATGAATCGGGCGGAACCCTCATGATGGTTGAAACGTTGACACGCACATGGATGCCGCCCCGTGGACTCGGCAGCCCATTAATACAGTATCAGGGAGCGCGAGGGGGGTAATACGGGGTAATACGAGACGACACTCAAGGCGACGCGGCCGTTTGTCTTCACTGGGCTGGATACGACGGGTCAGTACTTCAGTGCTCGGGTCGAGTCGCGGTTGCGTGGGCCTGTCAGTGATCATATACTAGTCCGTTCAGAGAGTAACTCGGATGATCAGGCAACTCCGCGAGCGGTGGTGAGATGCTGTACCATATACCATGTTGACCGTTATCATGATAACTCAGGCTTCAGTGGCGGATCGGGAGCATGCTCGAGACAGCTCTCATCCTCACTGCGATCTACCTCGTAATAGCCTCGTTCCATTCGCATTGCATGTATGTTAATGAGTACAAAAGACATTTGCTACCGCCCGCCTAGCTCAATCGGATAGAGCGTCAGACTCTTACGAGGGCGGTTGCGTTCTGGACCTCCTCCCGGGTTATCTGAAGGCTGCGAGTTCGACCCTCGCGGTGGGCTACGAGGCAATTCCGAGTCGACGGTGTTCTTTTTCCGCTGCGCCTGAGAGTTTGCTTTCGACGAACTTCATATTTTCTCCTGCCCAGTGCGAGATAGAGTTGGCCCGATCGAGGGCGCCTTGCTTCGATCGTAGATCTACGATCAGGATCGAACGGCACGTGCACCGCGTTTCCCCATATTTTCATGACATGAAAGTACGCGTATGAACGCGACTCGGACGCGTCTTCGACTCCCGGATCCTTCATCCTACTGATTAGTCTTTGATACTTTGCCCACTGGTATTAGGAATCGTTACTACTGCTTGCTCGACACTCGTGGCTTGCTCTTCCGGGCACCATTCGCGCACTCGCTACGCGTCTGACTTTCTGGGACGCGCAAGTGCATCAAATCCTCAGACATGCCACTCATTCTGAACGGGTACTCCGCCTCCATCCACTGCGAAGACAGAGAGATGGATCAATATGGGATGCGCCTCGAAGATGAGAGGACAGTATCGTGTTGGATAGCTAGTGAAGCGGGGAAGGTGACACACCACATCATCTGCTCAGGTCCGATCTGAGTTGCCTTGGCCCATTGACCACGGTGATTCTTCTGCTAGACCTTCACGATCCATTTTGGCGACGAATCTGCTAAGACCGTCATGAGTGTTGCGGTTAGGATGGACGGACGCTCAGTAGAGTCGAAGGCGCATGTTTCTCGACCTACAAGCACGCTCACTGGTGTGCTTGTGAGTACGAACCGGATTCGGCCGTTTCTGTTCTCTCCGCTTGTGCTTACAGGTAAGTGGTGGCCTGCTGCGAAGTGCACCCAACTCCTCCTGTAACCTCTCCGGGCTCATCAGTTTGCTTAGACGACGACACCTTGGATGGTGCGGTGAACGAGGAGCTGGGGACCATCCGTATCTTGATGTTCCGAGTGCAAGCCTTCGTCTACAACAAAGACTTGTCAACAGATCGACGAGTTGTCGATATCGGTACGATCCATGAGAAGAGCAAGAAAGCCGGGGCACATGCAGTGACGTAAGTGAATCCTATCGAGGTCGTCCTCTCATGAACATGCTGATACGGTATGTGCCGGCTGAAACGTAGCTTCGGGGATGCTCTGACACTCGAACCTCGTTATCGAGTTGAGGAAATCGGGAGGGAGGCGGAGCCCTTTGCTACGTTTGTCTTCAGGTATAGACCGATAGGTACGTTTCAAAACCATTGAACACGAGTTCAACGGAGCACCTTAATAGTGGCATGAATTCTCAGAACTCTTGCGGGCCAACGGAATCGTACCTCCCGTCAAAGCACCTGCACCCGCAGCTACGTTAACACGGACAAAGAGGCGACTTCCGGAAACTCGCGATGAGAAAGCCGGTGCAAGTCCTACCACTCGCAAGCGCCATCGTGTGGACTCAGCTGTGAAGTCCGAGCACACGCCAGAGGACGCCGAGGGCGAAGACGCGAAGAATCTCATCATTCTTGAGGTATGCCAGTTGGTTTCACGTCAGTATCGGAAGCATGAATTGAATCCGTACAAACCGCCTCCAGGAGCAACTGGCGATGATGCAGAAGCGTGTCAAAGAGGCTAGGGAAGCACAGAGGAGTAGGGCTATTATCAAGCGAGAAGTCTCTCCCATACGTCTTCCGTCATCTCTGGACGGCAAAGTCATCGACCTCACGCGCGACTGATTGATGTAGTTCAAGTTCGCTCACACCGTTCCGACAACACACAGGTTCTTGGCTGTCACAGCTCGTTTGGCTCCTCCACTCCGCTCTTGCGCCGTTTGTTGCATACTCTATCCGGACTAATATCATGGGCATAGGTTCTTTACAAGCATTTCGCACGATTTACAACCATTCACGTCTCCGCATGAGCACTACTGAGAGGACTGTTGGGATGCTCTACCTATGTGGTTGCAAGAAAACCTTCGCTATCACCGCCCGCCTAGCTCAATCGGATAGAGCGTCAGACTCTTACGAGGGCGGGATCCGTTCTACCCTCTTCCAGGGCTATCTGAAGGCTGCGAGTTCGACCCTCGCGGTGGGCTACGAGGAGATTCTCTAGGCGTACTTTTTGCGCTTCCAGCCTGTCCGGAAGGCTGGACTTTTTAACTTTTTGCCTCGGAGGCTCTTCCGAGGTAAGTAGGTTCTTCCGAAAGAGGCTCCTCGATCGTTCCTGATCGCCTCATCTCGGTGATCGGGATCTATTGGCAGACGCTCATGCACTCTACCATTTGGCCACAAATTGCCACCTATTGCCACCAGTAACAGTACTCGCTGAAAGCCTCAATCAGACACTTCACTCGATTACCGTTGTGGCCTCCGCTCTCTGGTTATGAATTCTTGAAGGAGATATCATTCGCAACCGTCGCCTCAACCACCATGCGGGCTCTATTAGGGTTCGGTAAATAAGTGCCCGAGGACTTCTATACATGTAAGTTACATTTGTAAGTTACTCCGCTAGCCCGAAGCCTTTATTAACACGTGTTTTAAACACTTTCTGACCGATTTGTAAGAAAGTGTTATAAACATGTAAGTAACGATATATTAACATTGTATATTGAGTATCCCTGAGTAAACAATGAAGTGACGCTCAGAAATCTTCGAAGATGTCCCACTGGGAGTCGGGCAAAGCCTGGGATTGAGATGGTATGGGTTGCGTGCCGGTTGCCCCCGCTGGCGGTGATGTGACGCGTGGGGTATCCGAGAGCAGGTCGAGCAAGGCGGGAGAATGGAGGTTCATATCAGATGCAGGTAGCATCTCCTTAGGACCGT